ATATTTTTAGTTTGTGCGCTTAACGGTATGCGAATTCATCAAATACGCCTGATATGTTTGAAAGGCAAAAGACTGGCCTCTCGAATGACGCCAACAAGAATAGCTTATGTTGTCTACCTTGCGTGCTACGGGCGTCAGAAAAAAAGTCTTCGGCGTTCCCCCAACTTCCCCTATACTCGTACTTACCTTCTGAGGATAGAAAAAGACGTTTGGTTCTGTCGCACGTGTGAGCGGCGCACATGAGCACATGAGCGCTCTTATGTCTAGACGTGTTATCGTTTTCCCGTTTGATGTCTGTATCGGTTTGGTGGCGGCGACCTCTGTCATCACGGCTCCCCGCGTTTCTCCGCGCCATGACGTTCTGACACATGTCCTACAGCGATGACAAACGTTCGAAGGTGACGCCGACGGCGCTCAGCTAAAAGAAATGGCCGAAAACTGATGACACAGAAGGCCAACAATGTGGGCTAATGTCCCCGGAGGCGCACGACTGTTCGCATATTTCAGCGTCTGAGATTTACATATGTTATTTTCAACGCACGGAACGCACAGAAATGATAAGACATCCATTACGATATCATTTGCGTTTGGACTGTGGTGCACGATAAGAGTCCTTTATTGTACAAGACTGGAATCAATACGCCCATGGAATGACAGCCCTCTGGACATAGAGCTATTTAAATTTGATGACTAGGAACCACGCATGCCGATTACCAAATTTTCTCGAAAGATTTTCTCGTCCACTCACAATGCCCTGAGGCGGTCTGACCGACCGGTCACGTGACAACAAGGTCAGCTGTTAGACGCGGCCGCTGAGCGCTGTCCCAGGCTGTGAACCGCGGAAACATCGGAAACATGGCCTTCGCTAGGCGACGGTAAAGTCGATACCCCTGGAAAATGCTGGACGTCACATGAACCTATGTCATGATCTTGAATTTCAGGAAACTTGTGATTACACGACACCGAAAATGCGACATTACACGGCAAATGCGTGACAAATTTAGGTTGTGGCGAGAACAGGAAATGAGCCTGGTGAATAACCAGCGGCGTGGTATGTATGTACGCCAGTGTTACAGCCCGAACACGGAACAATAATGACGTGACGTCTACACCGACTTATGGGCTGCACTAGGTCGTCTCAGTTGCATTCTTTTAAATATATGCAATTACAACAGTTTGGCTCAGGCCAGCTGGAGAAAATGAGGTGAGGCCAAGCATGAGCAGCGTTGTTTCGTTTCATACAATCTATTTATCAACTGCATTATGCTATTGCACTTCCTAAGCCAGTTGTTTGAATGCATTACCAGAATACAATTGCATTTGTTTGTGCCGTTCTGGCTTGATTTATGGGTCAAGGACACGATCCTAGTTTATAGCAACAGCCCTTGTTCGCAAGACCAGATTGGACACTCCAGAGCTCTGATTGCTGCCTGTGCACTTTCTTGGCATTACTTTTTGTATAGTTGATTGCGACCTTGAAATGAATGGGAATGAGTTAAGATTTTAGTTGGGAATTCTAGCCGGAGAAGGGACGCATGCAGAAAATGTGGAATGGGATTAGAGTTTAGATAATAAATTATTTGCAAATTGATATGATCTCGTCATTTACAAACCGTACCTTTGCAGCCAGAAACCACAGCTTTTAACATTGTGTACTTTACAATTACTTGGCCATCAAATACATTTAAACAATTCATCATTCATTCAGGTACCTATAATTTGTAAAAGAAAGCTAGGCGCTCTTGCGAAAATATCTCTTCAATACATAGTTGGCCAAATTTCTCAGGTTGTATTTGATTGAAAATATTTGGAAAGAGGATCCGATGCTGTTTTGTTGCCGGTGTCCACTCCCCTAATTTCCTAAATTTTGGCTATTTCTTCACTGCCGACCAGCTTCCTGCCCACTCCACCCTGTTCTACCTATCTCCAGAGCCATGCAGACTGGCCGGGCAGTGGGGCGGCGGTAGCGGTGTCGCGGTAGCGTGCGTCGAACATGTGTCGGCCACCGCGTCCCCTCGTCGATCGACATCCGCCCCCCCCGTCCCCCCCCGGTGCGGTAGAACGGTAGCCGAGCACGGCGGCCAGCGGTGCCAGTGACGGCGCTGAATGGCCGGCGCCGCGCCGCGCGCTGGCACCGGAATAGGAGCCGGCCGGCCGACCGCCGGTCAGTCGGCGCCGCTGGCGTCATTACGCCACCTCCGCAATGTCGTTTGTCACGACAGGGCGCCGATGATTGGTATACATTTGACACGCCGGCGAGCCTCAGGGAACTCTTACCTTTGATGTAATTAGTGATGGGGACAATGCTTCTATCACTTTTTTGTGTCATGCCAGAATCGATCGATCCTCCCTCGCCGCACCCAATCAGTTTCCCGTTCAATGACGCTTATTCATAGTCCTGAATCTTCACGTTGAAAGGCGAAAGCACACCCACGGTGAAGTTCATCTGCGTGGATAAGCCCTGCATACAGCTGCCATTTATCGCATACGGCTCGGTAACATTTCAACAGCCGTGAGCAGTTTGTAACAACTTCACCGTGAACAGTTAATAAAACAAACCAGGCTGCTAGAACCCAGAACAGTGGAACATTGTCGGAGTTCTTGGAGGGGAAATAATTAGGAACGTATGAGGTGATGCACGCGTTGTATTCCGCTCATCGTCTCGGACCAGGGGTGATGGAGCACCCTCGGTCTCGGCTCCTGGCTGACATATGTCGCTCTAACACCGTCACCGGCCACAGATAAATTCTGACCCGCCGGATTAGTTATGAGTTGGCAGCGGCGAGAAACATGACACGTGCGTCGCTATAAATCAGCACCGGCTTGGCTCGAACGGATGACTGGGGGCCCAGCGCTGCGCACGGCCGGCTGGTCGGTGGGGCAGACCACCACGGCCGGCCGGGGTTCGATGGGTTTGGGTGAGTGCAACGAGGTCGGATCGAGCCTGTCAGTGCGTGTTTCTATGTCAACACTATTATTCATGCAGCAAATCAAGAAGTTGTGCTCAACGATAAACAAATGCATGCTTCAGATCCCTTGTAAGTCGCCATTTTACTGCGCGGTCTTCCCCAAGCCATGCGGCACGGCATCTGATCAGGCGCGGCACACTAGTGCCATCTATGGACAGAGCTGTTAGGTCCTGCGGCACAGCATCTTGCCAGGCGCGACACAGTAGTGCCACCTATGAGCAGAGTTGTAAGGTTCTGCGGCACAGTATCCCATCAGGCGCAGCTCACTGGTGCCATCTATGGGCAGAGCTAGAAGGTCCTGCGGCACAGCATCCTGTCAGGCGCGGTCCATCAATGCCATCTATGGGCAAAACTGTAAGGCCGTGCGGCACAGCATCCTGTCAGGCACGTCCCACCAGTGCCACGTATGGACAGAGTTGCGAAGTCCTGCGGCCATCAATTAATTAACTTTCCATTCCTAACATACCTGATACCTACCTACATCACAAAATGAAGCGATTTCGGTCAACATAATCATTTTTTACAATAGCAAACAAGCTGTTGCCAGTTGTGCTCGTGGTTATTTTCTCTGGCTTAAACTATGAGCGGTGCTATTCTCCAATAAAAACCTGCAACCGAGGCTGCACGCATAGATCACTGACTTGCCGCAGCATTTTCTGTCACAACAAATAGTCGGACTCCGCCGGCATAGCTCCATAAATATCGGCCTGTTTCAATTAATAGCGCTCAACGGGCTCGCAATAAATTCAGAACTAATAAACCAGACATTAGGCTTCCACAAACGATCCACTTTGAACGTTGTTATCTAATCAAACTGAAAACGAACAGACAACAAATCGGGGCTGCTGCGGAGCCACGTCCCACTACTCAGCAGTCGACGAGGCCCTATCTTACCGAGAGCCCGTCTGCCAGCGTCGTCGGCGGGTCGGGACGGCCGGGCAGACATCGGCTCAGGGCAGTACTGATGGCCCGCTCAGGCTCAGTGGCGAAAGAAATATGGCACTGCTAATGATGCCCGCACTAACCACTACCGTGTGATGGCAAATGGAGCACCATCACTCAGCGTTACCGAGGGTCAGGGAAAGAAGCAGAACGTATCTCTCAGATGGGCTGAACATTGACGGCAGGTTTCGCCAGGATATGACAAGGACAACCTGTACTTAGGTCAAGGTCATACTGCATTCACCGCTTGATCTAAATATTTCCGTCTGTTCTGAATTCACGTCGTAAAAGTTGTCAATGGAAGGATCTCCAAAGCAATCTACCATTCTGGCAGAAAGAAAGCGAGGAGTAGCAGCGCCTTGAACTTGGTACTGGGGTCGACAACCAAATACATATACAAAGAGTTTGGACAAGGTTTCACTCAAGTCTAGGTATATTGGGTTCGGTCGTAGGTCGGCATAGTTGGATGAAGAAAACGTCAGAAGTCAGTTCAGATTAGTAATTGAAACAGGCTTCAAGCGTGATTACGGTCATGATTAGACACGTCTGGCTGGAGCTGGATCGGATAAATTCTGAGGTCAGAAAATCGCTGGGGTCAAGTCTAGTTTCAAAGATGGGTTCGGATCAGGGGTGATATCAAGGGTTGGACTGGATCAGGGCCGGGATCAGAGCAGGGCCGGGTCAGCCGGTGCCTGGCTCCGGGCCAGCCGTGATGTCACCCGCGGCTCAGATGTAGCGGCGGCTGTTTCGCGCCCAGCTGCCACGCCCGCCGGCGAAAACATTTACTGCACGATGGCGGCGATTCAAAACAGATGGGCGCGGGTCGGCGGCACGACGGTGCACATGGTGGCCGGGACGGGGCGCTGTGCCGCCCGCTGCCAGCGGCTGCCAGCGCCCCGGCCCGGCTGACGGCTGCCGCTGGCCCGCGCCCGCACGGCAGCGGAAGCCATGGATGCTAAACACCCCGTGAGCCCGACTCGGCCGGCCTTTGATGAGGCCACCTCTGACCAGATGAGCCACAAACCGCGCTCTGACGACCGGTGCCGTGTGTTGCAGGTGGACGCTGACGACCGGTGCCGTGTGTTGCAGGTGGACGGGTCGGCGTCTGATGCCGGCCGCCGCCGCCCGCTGGGCCCAGCACAGCGCGCGCTCAGCCGCGCCGCTCTGACATGGCCGGCGGCGGCACGCTCTGCAAGCACTCCGGCTGGCAGCGCGCGCGCCGCGGCGCCGCCGCCGTCACGTGACCCGGCGCAGCGCGCGCGCGGGACGTCGCGCCATGCTGCGCGGCCGCGGCAAGGATGCGCGCGCCAAGCCGTCGAGCGGCAGCGCGCGGCCGGACCGGCGCACCAGCAGCCGCGGCGTCGAGCTCGAAAATGAAGCGATGCGGTTTCGCACGCTGGAGATGGCCTCGGAGGTGGACCAGCAGCACAGCGACATGCGCAAGCTGCGGCGCGAGAACGACGCGCTCAAACAGCAGCTGTGGACCATGCGCGACGAGTACCAGCGGCTGGAGGAGTTTGTCGAGGAGCTGGAGGAGGTGGCGCTGGAGGACATTGTGGAAGAGGAGGACGACGAGCCGGAGGAGCCGGAGGAGGAGGAGGAAGAGGAGGAGGTGGTGGAAGAAGAGGAGGAAGAGGAGGAGACTGAAGACAGGGACAGTGGTGCCGGCGCCTCTGGCCGGCTGGACATGCCCGCCTTCGACGCCGAGTTCGCGTTACGCGGCGCCGGCGCCGGTCCGCACCGGACTGGCGGCTTCACCGTGCTGCTGCCGGACCGCGGGCCCATCACCATTCCGGACATCCCCTCCTCGAGCCCGGACGGCCTGCCCGACCCGGACGAGTTCTTCTCGCCGACCAAACATTTCAACCTGGACCAGCTCATGGACATTGTGCACAGTTTTCACGTGGAGCGCGATAGGCACTGTGTCAGCCCGGCAGCGGCGCGGCGCGGCTCGGGCGCCGCGGACGGCGCGTTCGGTGGCGCGATGCCGCGCCGGACCGAGGCGGGGCCGCCGGCGGGCGTGGTGGTGACCCAGAGTGTGACGCACGCCACCACGGCCTCGGACGGCTCGCGGACGGTGACGTTCCGGCGCGACTCGGTGCTCTGTGTGGGTGGCGACAGCGAGGCCGGCGCGGCGGGCTCGGCACACTCGCGCTGCAGCAGCGCCAGCGACGGCAGCGTGGCGCGCTACGCCGCCCAGCAGGCCACACTGCTGCGCATCAACTGTGTCGAGCCCAACACGGTCATGTTCTCGACGCGGCAGCACCCGGCGCTGCGCGGCCTCTCTGCGCTGCACGTGATCGACGAGCTGGAGCGCCAGCTGGACTCCCGTCTGTGCGAGGTGCGCGGCGTGCGCGTGGTGAGTGACACGGCCTACGTGTGTCTGGGCTCGCGCGCCAGCTTGCTGCTGCTGCTCGGCTGCGGGCTGACGGTGCGCGGCGTCCCAGTCTCGTTGGTGGACATCACGCACGACTCGGCGGTGGTGATGATGGCCGGCGTGCCGCACTACATCAGCGACGGCACCATCCACGTCCTGATGGACACCTTCGGCACCGTCATCGGCGAGATCGAGCGCCGCTTCTACAAGGGCGTCGACACGGGCGATCGCTTCCTGCGCGTCAAACTCTGCGACGGCGTCAAGGTGCCGCACTACGTCACCGTCGGCGGCAACAAGATCACCATGCGCATCGTGCCGCCGGACGAGGTGGGATGCGCGCTGCGACCCGAGCAGTGCCGTCTCAACTCGACCAGGAACGCTTCGACCCACACGTCACAGTCCAACCACCGGCGACTCGGCAGTGACGGCAGTGAGGGAGCGTATGGCGGTGCGGGAGGGGCGTTCTTCGCCGGCACCGGTGCCTGCGGACAGACCTCGCCCGCGGCATCGGCGGCGTCCCCGGCAGGCTGTGGCAGTGAGACGCTGAGGAAGCAGGGCTTCACGTCGCACCTGCAGGTGCAGCTGCGGCCGCGCTCGGCGCCGGACCCGGCGGCGGGCGCGGCGCGAGGCAGCGCGCCCTCCTCACCGGCAGACGTGCTGGACGGCTCCTCAGCGGCAGCCCACCTCTCGATGCTGGTGAACACGAGTGACGGTCAGGACTCGTCCCCACAGCCGCCTCCGCCGTCCCAGCCGCCCCCCGCACCGCCTCCCCCTCAGCCGCCGCCAACGCCCCAGCAGCCCGGCAGCGCCACACTGAAGCGGCGCGGTCGGAGACCCTTCTTGCCTCGGATCCGGCTGCCGGGTGCGGCCGCCACGCCAGCTGAGCCCGCGGCGCCTGCCTCCTCCTCCTCCGAGCTGGACAGCAGCAAGTCTTCCCCGGACAAGCTGCGCCGCGCCGCCGGCGCCTCCGCCGGCGACCGCAGTCCAGACAAGCTGCCGCGCTCACTCAACAGTTCGCCCACCAAGTCAGTGGAGTCTCGCGACTCTCCGCTCAAACACCGCGGCTCGGTAGCGTTCGACGAGTCGAGCGGCGCCGACTCGCCGCCGAAGCGGCGCCAGGCGCGGCCGCAGGCCAACGGCGGCATCCTGCGACGCCAGGTGAGCGAGATCGAGAACGACTCGCCGCAGCCGTCGCCGGACTCGCTGCGCCGGCGGGCGCTCGGTGACCCGGTGCGCGCCCGGCTCGCCGAGCGGATCGAGCGGCGGCGCGCGCGCTCGATGCGGAGGGACTCGGAGCTGAGCGAGCTGAGCGAGGCGCTGGAGCGGCGCGGCTCCGAGGGCGCCGGCTCACTGAGCAGCCGGGGCACCAAGGCCGGCAGCAGCCTGCCCGACAGCTCGGACGTGCCCTGGTGCGGCTGCTGGGGGAACGGCTGCTTCTGAGCGGCGCGCTGCCTGTGATACGGCCGGCCGGCGGCGCCGCGGCCAGCGTTCCAGGCGGCGGCGCGCCGGCCGGCCCGTGTTTGTTGCCCGAGTTGCCCGGAGAGTCGCGTGCGGTGGAGGGGAGCAGGTGCGCCGGTACCGCTATCATCGCCGGTGGTGTTTGTCAGCCGCCGGACCGACGGGCTCCCAGCGCTGTTATTGTTGGAATCGCCGCCTCCGAGTGCGGCCACTGTTCACTGTTCATGAATCACGGTCCGTAGTGGGTGAGCGGCGCACACGCGGCTCCATGTAGTGGCGGCATCGACCGCGCGCGCCGGCCGGCGGGGCGGCGTCGCCTCGCCAACAGCCGCTGTCCGCCTGACCCCTGGCGCGTATTTGCCGAGTCTTTCAAGCGTTGCCTCGCTCCATTCAGCGGCGATCGACCCCGTGGGGCTGGCAGCGCGCCGGCCGGCCGCCGGCCTCTGTCAGCGCCACCGATACGGCGCGTCGGCCTCGCCCCCCAGCCGGACTGGCCGGACCGGTCAGCGGCCACCGGCTCCACTTGGCCGCGCCGCGTCCGCCGGCCGTCCGCCGCCGCTGCCCACGCCATTCGTCAAACATGCCACCGACGCACCGCGGAACCGAGAGCAACGGCGGCGCCAAATTAATATTTGTTCCTTACTGAAAATAGCCGGCGGTGGCCGCGCGGCGTGATGACCGTCACGTGACCACCGCCGTCCGCCGATAGGGGCGTCACGTGACAGTCGATAAGAGACCGACTGAAAAACGACAGTCTGTAATTAACGCTGCCGGCGACGGCAGCGGCGGCGGCGGCCGACGCGGGGCTGACAGCAAGAAATGTCAACAACTCGCCCCGAAATATAAAAACTGCCTACTTCACCATCTCGGTTAAAAGCCTAGAATTGCCGTTGGAAGCATGCATAAATTGGTTGGCGCTCGTGTGTGCGCTGTGCGAGCTGCAGTCATTTTTCTCTCATCTGACAAGGCCGTAACTGAGGCGATAAATACCGCCGCAACAGTGGCCTAAACGGGCGTTACTTGCGGTTATTGGTTTGCGTTCACATTTGTCCTCTGTGGAGGGTGTTAGGTATGCGGCGTACGGCCGTTGGGGGTGTGGATGGAGAGAATCGGCCGGGTGCGGCGCAATGCCGTACCCAGGTGTCGGTGGATTTTATATAGACTTTGTTACGACGCTGGCGTCAGTGGCGCGACCAGTCACCATGTTTTATCGCTGCACCTTCATTGGTTCGTGCCTGTTTCTGTGCGCCTGCGTGTGTGTGCGGGCGTGTGACAACTAGGATGGGTCATGCTGTGTCGTACAAACGGGCCGTTCGGCCGAGGCGGGAACAAAGCCAAAGGTGTTTGCCATTTTTCAGCGACTCTGCGGAGCGTGCCGGCGCGGTTTGACGCCGCCGCCGGTGGCATTCGTGGCGCGCCGGCGGCATCCTGTGGCGCGCCGGCCACCCGAGTGCAGCGGAGGGGCACGTCACCGGAGCGGCGCTCCACCGGCCGTGGCCGCCACAGCTCCTCACCGACGGACAGAGATATAAGAGGATGGAACCAGGCGAGCCCAGGGCACCGAGCAGCCAGCAAACGTGTTACATTCATATCACATCATACATTACTGTGCATTCAAACTGCGTTGAGCGAGAGTTGATTAAAGCAGAATCCGAGTGAAATGGTATTCTTGTTTCTTGTTCTTCACCACTCCTTTGGGGAGTCCACTGGAGGCGACATTGGGAGGGGCTGGCGACTACCGCTTCCACAATAAGTACGTTACGGAGACTAGACACGGCCCCTTCTCATCGCTTCATTAGTCGACTGGCGGAGCCTCATGTATACCATCCCTTTGGTACATATACGTTACAACGAGCCCAGATCCACGGCGCACCCTTAACAAAATAGTCGCGGGAAAAGGCTGAATTGTGGTTGAAGGCAGACTGACTGAGGAAAGCCTCGATCGACTGACGCTATCCGGCCCGGTTATCAGTCTCTGTCACGGGGGAAAATCAGTCTGTCAATCCACCAGGCAATTCACACTGGCAGCTGGCTGGAGAGAGGGACGATACTAGTGATATCAATTACGGAAAATCGGAATACCGATACCAAACCAAATACCAACTAAAACCGTGGAGAAATACCGAATCCAAACCAACTTGGAAAATACCAACTTTTTACCGATTTCTTAGCCTCTTAAACATTAGCGAGGGTTCATGATACCAACAAAATACCAAACACATTAGGATTGAAATACCAAATACCGAGTTGGTATCGGTTTGGTATCGGTATACCAAAAAGTTGGTATCCAATTGACATCTCTAGACGATACCTACGAAATACCTCAGCGCAGCCTGTCCCTATGACCACTAACCAGTGAGG